TGCCCGACAACAAGAACAAAACATTTTTATAACAACGACAACTAGGGTGGCCAAATTTTATAACTAAATTGTATAACATTATTAAGTAACAACCCTAAAATAAATTGAACAAGTTAGAAGGCAATCAATATAAAAACTAATTTTTGTTTAAACTTTTGGTTATACGTTAAATCTGGTACTGAAAACCCGACAGTAATGAAACTAGTCGGTGCAAGCGTTGGAGTAAACTATACGTGTGTTACTTACCCTTTTTCATTTAGTATAAAATTTATTTTATTTTTAATTTATTATATAGAATGTAAGAATAATCTTTACCTGATAGATATAAATTCTTCAGTGTGCTTGGGTGCATCGTGGATATTTTATTAATTTAAGTATTTCATTCCCTGAATTCTGTTAAAACTGGTCACCCTACCGCCAGCACATTAGAAAGCGACGCGATCACATTTATCATACTGATAAACATAAAGGTCAAGTTCCAAGTGAATAATTGACTTCAAAATAGTCGGGACAAGTCACGTAAAGCGAGTTTCCGCGGCACAATACAGTTTTTAGGAAGACAAATATTAATGGCTATATTTCTGTAATACTAAACGATATAATCTCGTCATTACAAATCTAAATCTATCGTTTGTTTACGTAACCACCGAGCTATTATTTTTTTTGTTACTTAATTCTAAATTTTGTAACAGACTTTGTTTTTATATTTGATTATTTGTTCCTTTGTTTGTTTGCACAGAATATGATTAGTAACTACAGAACCTATTTGCATTTTTTACTGTTAAGAATCTAAAAAATAAATGATGATCCGATTTTATTTTGCTTTCATTAATTCTAGCGTCAGTGGCTCAGGGTTCAAGCACTTGACTTTCAATCTTCAGGTCCGGGTTCGAATCCCGCCATGTACCCATGTGTTTTTCGATTTCCGATTTACATTGTACGTTTATCCGACGTTCTTACGGTGAATGAAAACATCTGCACATATCTGAGAAGAAATTTAAAGATATGTGTAAAGTCAACCAACCCGCACTTGGCCAGCGTGGTTGACTATGGCCTTATCACCCTAAACTTAGGGTAGTCTCCAAGCCCCTTCGTGGGGACTTATAGTGAGTTGATGACGATTAATTCTAAATCATAAATTAAAAAACTTCGGAATGTTTATTACGTTTTAGTTTAGTTGCTCGCATTTTTTTCTTCTGCGTTTCTAGCATGTTACAACACAAATAGTTAGTTGTTGAAGTCTGTATTACAATTACATGTCAACTTCATAAATGGATATATTGTTGTGACAGTGAACTCAGTTATGAAAAGATTTAATTTGTTAACCAAAACATAATCAGATTCTCTTAATTTCAAAAATATCCTCTTAGAAATTGTTGCTTTTTCATTAAAAGAGAAACACTTTTTCATTAACGTAGAAGCTTAAAACTTCATTCTTAAACGAATTCCGATGTAAAAACCGCCTCAAGGGGACATATGAAATAAATGAGCAAGCTTTATTATTCAAAATATTTTTAAAATTCTATATTTTTTATGAAATATATAATAAGATTTAAGGTTTTGAGTCTAATAGAATATTTCTTTACTTACCTACTTGTTGATATGGAAGTGCATCTTGACTTTATTAGGCAGTAATAGTTTAAGATAATATAACTTAAATCGTATTTGATACGAGGAAGGAGTAGACAAGTTGCCAATATCATTGTCCATGACCTTGCGGGCATTCAAGAGCCTGACCTTTTAACCACATCAACACGGAACGTAAAAAACTTGTGGTATATTAGCGTTCACAACTCGAACACCCTGTGTAAGACTGGCTTTGGACCGCGTCGCCCACAGCTGCAATTACACCGTGCGCCACCTGTCGACTGCAGAAGCGATACTCATATTTTGCGACAAATTATATTATAAACAAAATTAAGTGCCAGTTTGTGGCTATAGATATTGACTACTTAATCTTACTAGTATTCTAAATGCGAAAGTTTGGATGGATGGATGGATAGATGGATGGAACAACTCCATGGATCTCGCTCAACTTTGGCACATATGTTAAACATAGCCTGGAAGTACACATTGGCTACTTATTAAGTTTTTTTTTCGATTCCGCGAGTCGCTGGCAACAGCTAGTCATCTTTATAGTTACGTAAAACTAAATGCACAGCAGCTAAAAGCTAAAATCAATTAAAGGCACAAAACCAGTCCAGCTGCTTGTGTAACAGTAAAAGATCGTGCTAAATATATAATTAAAAAAAAAGTGAAAAAATGTTTTAATTTGAAATTCTTTAATCCTTCACCGTGCTGCTTAAGTAGCATTCGTTGTATTTAATTTGCGAACTGAATGAGAAAAATTGGACGGCTCCCGGTTTAAACAAGGCTTAATTTGTCGTCATTAATATAGATGAAGTGGACGTATCGCCTTGTACGTCTTTTATATTTAGTCTCGCATACTAATCAACCACATTTTTATTTCACTCGGTATTAAATATAGACGCAGTTCGTTGACTAAGACTAATAATAGATTCGATCTGATCGAATTATCAACTGCCGCGTGGTTAAGTAACCTCTGAACAACATTCTTTAAATTCAAAGGAGACAAAACTAACTAGCACTTTTCTTTACCAAAACTTTCGTCTACAGAAATGGAAGTATTAAAAACATTTAATTTATAGCAGAGAAAGTCACGTAACAATTACAAAAGTTATTACAATAACAAATATAATATTTTATTATGTACTTATCAAATAAATTATACAACAAAACATGTTAGTTTTAAAATTTACGATTACGCTTTGTAGTTAAAAATTTTCGAGGAACCGTCTGGCTATTTATTGTTTAACGCTGTTGTGACTAATTTTATTGGGTATGCTTATCTATGAAGGCCATAATAAAGTTTAAGCTCTCCGCAGTGTTCCATTCTTTTGGAAATTGATAGACGTGGAGTTATCATTTGACAGCGTGCGTGCTAAGGCCCGCGTCACGCAACGCCGCGTCAACACCGCGCCGAGCCGAGCCCAAACAGTCATAGAGTATACAAAAAATCGCATTGATTTATATTTAACAACGACTAAATTGTGTAAAAATAATCATAAATTTTATAAAGACGTTATCAATATACGATGAAAATGGCAAGTTTTAACCATCCGTTATAATCTAGTACCGAGAAGATGAAAAGGATGTCAAACTTCGCAAGTATGTTACTCTGCTTTTGTCATTGCAGGGTTTTTATTTTTTTTATTTTTAAAGTAGCTTTTAATATACGAGATACAGAAGTTCCTTACTTCCTAAATATATTGTAATAATAGCTGTCGCCCGCGACTCCGTCCGCGCACAATTAAAACCAAACGTAATAAGTAGCCTATGCGTTCTTCCTGAGTATGTTCTGCATCTGTAGCAAATTTCAGTGAGATCCATACAGCCGTTCCGGAGATATATTCAAACAAGCATCCATCCATCTTAAGCTTCGTATATATAATATTAGTAAGATAATATGTATATTTATGCAAATAAACTACAATCTAATGGGTTACAAATTACTTGTGAACAAAATGCAAAATTTATAAAACACTTTCAATAAATCTAAAACCGGTCTTTAAAATAATCTTTGCCTTACACAAAAATATTTTAAGCTCTATTCGTCAACGTGTCGTTTGTAATAAAATTCGTTGAACGCGTCAACTGGGCAAAGGCCCCAATTTTTATTAGCTTTTTTTACTCGCACCCCTTTCTGGTTAAAAGCTCGTAGGAGACAAAATTCTACTTGAACTATATTAGTAGGTTTTACGGTTTCCTTATTATCTAGTAAAAAGTAACGCTATGTTTTTACATCCAATATCTGTTTTAAGTGTACCGCATAAGAGGTTATATGTAAAAATGATCCTGTTTAAACAAAGACGAATTAAGTACCACCTCTTATTGAAGTCGATTGAATGTGGATGAAAACATTGTTTTCTTCTTTCGTTGATTCAAACAGAAAATAATGTCGACACTTCGAACACTACTTTAAATATGAGAGTTTAACAAAAATGCGGTAAAAAGTTATGACGCTTTAACTGTATTGAGAGATTGTTCCGCGTATATGACCCAGTTGGCACATTTTCTTATTTCAAATAGGATGTGATTCGCGAATCGCGAAACTCGGGTCTCTTAATGCGTTTCATAAGTACCAGCAAAGGGACAAATAAAAACACGATAACCCCTTTCAAAAGGCTCGACCGTTGTTTCTATTATCATTGGTTGCTTTGTCGAGGGGCTTGATTTTTTTTTTTGGTGCGGGCGAAAAAAGAACAAACGCTCCGGATATGGGAGCCGTTTCCCATCTGTTTTATTAAAACTGCGATATTGATCTCAATCGGCCGTTTGTTCGAAGGCGCAACTTGTGGGTATTTCACACTGCGCTGAATTATATTAAATGGTTCGTTCGTGCATTGAGGTTGGAATAAAAAGTGTGATATGTTATTATATAGATAGAATTTTTTATCGCTGTTTTTAATATTCCTCATAAGACGAACCGAAAGTGCATACGTATTGATGTTTTATTTATAGTTTAACGTTGCTGTTGACTGGTCCAAAAAAAAACTTTTTACTATATCAAAATTAGGTACCTGAATTGTGGTTAACATCAAACTATATCCATGTATTTGAAGTCTTTTCTAATTAGATTCAAAATATACCCGATAATTATATAACACGTTCGGGAAGGCAGATTCGACCACCTAAACGTTTTCAATAATTTGTTTTTACTATTATTATTTTCATAAGGTTAATTAGAAGATTTTTGTTTGATATTATTTTAACTATCCATCTGTTTCTCAGTGTCAATATATATATTTATATATATATATATATATATATATATATATATTGTCAGAGTGTATTACATTGATTAAGTTATTGGTTAATCTATTAAAGTAATTTTGTTTTCAAAAGAAAGGGCATGTGGCATAATGACAGTTGTTAGAATGTCGATGAATAAAGTTAGTTGTCAATATGCATTCCTAAGATGTCGTTTTATTTCCATATATCTCCCGATACCACCATTATATTCTATTTCTTATTGAAATATAAAGTGCATTAATTAATGTACATTTACGTGTATCTTGATGTAGTTTGAAGGATATGAATAAACCTTGAACATAGCTGTAATACGGACGGACACTCGGAGTTGGCAAACATTGAGGAACAGTCAAACGTTCAATAAAGGTCTTTGATCTACTATCCCTTCAATGTGAAAATGGAACATTCTCTAGACGAGTCTATTCCAGTCTGGTAAGCATTACATTGATTAATACTAGTCCTTTTTATTGATACTATAGCTAATAGTTCAGAGACTATTTATAAATAAACATATCGGACATTGAAGGTTAATTAAAATTAATAGGCAGGAAAAAGTTAAATGTTTATCTGAATAAGTGATTCATATACATATTAATATTTTAATAATGAACTAATAAATCCCTTTACTAGAAACAATAGCGTATTTGAAATAGAGCTACGCTAATAATGAATTTTAATGTCATATGTTTAGATCAAAAAAAAATACTGAATTCAAAAAAGGAACAAATAATTAGGTTATTTTTTTTTTAATAATGTAAAAACAAAAGTGTCCTGTGTCATATATAGTATATATTTGTTCAGTGTAAAACCAGCTCTATTCTTTTTAATTGAATAACTCAGCCAATCCAAACGAACACCACCCGTTTATTTAATATGTAAACTTTGTTGGATTTATTGGTATCATAAGTTGCGAGCTCGGTTCACGCCTATCCTCCATGATGATTGCGGCTTATCGATATATCGAACCGAAGATAAACTCCATACATTTCTTACGTATCGATATTACTATCGGAAACCTCGATCATATGCAATATTTTTAAATGCAACATAACTTATATCTTACCAGCATATTATTTTAAGATGGTATCGCGAATTTTTGTAGTATTTATTAATTAATCCTCTTTTATATTTCTTCGTGTTAAGGTGTTTTTTTTCTTTAATATCATCAAGCTTTTTCCTGCCTGAGTAGTCACTGTTTGCCTTGAAGTGGCATTTGCAGCTTTACCAGTCTTGAGGTGGCCTAGCGCAGATGGTGCTTAGCCTTGAATCTCGATCATCAAGCTACCATTGTCACTACTAATATAGGCACAGTATGTATTACTCTTTCATAATTACATCTCTTTCAGTATACCTGAACTTAAAAATCCATCCATAGTTTCATTTTTTTTAAATGGCGGTGAACGAGAAAGCGGCCACCTAAAATAACCAAAACGGTGAAACGACCGCAGTCCATAGACGTCTGGAATTACAGATGCGTTGCTTACCTTTAATCGACAGAGGAGGGGTCGCACAGGAAGGGAATATTTCCCCTTTCTATGCGTCACCTTCTCCGTCAAATCCCTTCTCATCTTTACCTCATAAGAAAAGGATGGAATGGGGAAGGGGACAAAAATTAGGCTTCCATTTATTTATTTTTATTAAATGATCTTTTTTTATAAAATAATGAAGATAATTTAAAATTCAATCAATTATCTCAGAAAACGATGGAAGTCTTCATATATATTGCTGCTTAGTTGACATGGCGAGATGATCCGCAAAAAATTCCACCGTCGATGTTGCGTCGAATAAAAACTCCTCGGACAAGTCGACGGTCGAACGCGACAAAAACTGTCCATACCCCAGCGCTGGATCGGAGTTTACAAAAACAATCCTTTTATGGATGCGGCATCTTGCAGTTATGGAAAATTATTGATTGACAAAATGAAAATTAATGCGATTACTTCAGTAAACCGCAGTCACAATGTTGAAACAATGCTTGATATTTTTTTTATATCTCCGTAAGTCAGATGTTTTTTCGTTGCAAAATTTTTTGTTGCTGAATGGTACGCAGTTTTTATCAAGTGCATACATTGCTTGTTTGCTATATTCGATCACAAAAACCAATCCAGTGAGATTTCAAGTCAGTAATAGTAGCTTACTGGTTTTTTTAAATGTGCTCGAAAAAACACTGATAAATGCCACCCAATCCTTGAGATTTTGCCCAGAGACATTTAATATTGTTCCAGAAAATTTTAAATTTGGCCATTTGTATTCATTGTAACAAAACAGATCTCCCAGTAAAACAAAAACAAAAAATTCGAGTCTTATCTCTTCCTACATCTTGTTTCCTTCTAATGAAATCTTGTCGTAGCAAACAAGCCGGCGATCGCATCAAAAAGCGCTTACCGCGCTCGCGTTTTTTTCTTCCTCTAATTGTAAGTTATTTGACCCAAGGGTATCGGTATTTACGATAGATGCTATAAATCGCTATTTAAGTATAAAAATAGACAATAAATCACGTTGATCGGTGACTCGGTCTTATTGTGAGAATAAACTGTGTTTTTATTTATACAATTATTTAAAAGGAACAAAAAAAATCGCAGTAATTTCAATTGAATATATGTATACTCATAATATAAGTAATAAGCGATTCAATTTTAAATGTCATTAAAAATATGACAAGTTCATGATCTTATCCATAATATTTAGCACAGAGAATTTCCTTACGAAGTTAAAGGCAGCTTGAAGCACGTGTAAGAACAACATAGGCATTCATCCGTAAACAATACATCAAGGTTGAGGGCGACGAAGTAGTTCCGAAACAAAAGTCATCGAACATCCGCACATAGATCACGGGTACCCCGGCGGGCGGCAAATAGTCCGTAGTGGTAAATCGTGCGTCGAAACGCGCACTATCAATGGACTTGCAGCGTCATTAGGACGCACCATTGCGCGCCACGCTTTGTACAGCCCTGTCGTCTCTGATAGCCAAAGAATACACACAAAGTAGACGTGTCGAAAAGAAAAACAAAATTAAGATTTAGGTGTTCTTCATTGAGTCAAAAACTATTATGTACGCTCATTAATTAAGTTACCTGAAGTGATATATTTAGAGGTTAAGAATATATTTATTCTTCACAAATTTGTTGATCACCGTTTTCGCCTTCGTAGTGAATTTCTGGCACTTTCATCTATTTGTCATTTAGGTTTTAATGGAAAGCTTTTGGTAGAGTCCTGTTTCTCTTTGAACAGACACAGTTGAATTGAATCCTTCGAAATGCATCACGCATATTCTTCAAATTCTTCATCTGTGCTTCATTACATTTAATTGTTATAGTGTGAGTTAATGTAAAAATATATCTGTAAAATAAAATAATGTTCAAGGATTTGAATGACTGGAATCCGTCGTATATCTCTTACGCTACCTCTGAACCTTCCTGCGATTTTATTGCCCATACATTAGCTACGTGGATTAACTGAAGGGGATCACGCGCCTGTGCTTTCGTATTTGCGTGAATGCTTTCAACTATATCAAATATGTCTGTGTGGTTAATGTTATTTTATTTATATACAATAATTAGGGTTCTTTTAAGAATATGTTTTGCATGAAGATACAAATACAGTGTAAGGTTAAGAATATGTTTTATCTCTGTTTCGTCAAAGATAATGACAGGGACGACGATATGTTTTACAGAGTTTTTGGTCTCGGCCAACGGTTAGTTATGTTGACCATACACTGAGCGTCAGTGAGGACATCCAAAATATGTCAACTGCAAGAAAGCGTTTCAGAATAACGCGTCATATTAATTCCGAATATAAAATAAAGATAAACTGAGGGGCCTTATACCTTTTGAGAATCGTTGTTAATAAGATGTTAATACGAGAAAAAACACGTTTTCTAAAAAAAATATCCGCGGCTAAATTACTGCTGATTTATTTTTAAAGATTTTAATATATTTTACTTTCCTTTGTTTTGCTTCGCCTCAAAGAACGTCTCAAGAAATATCCGGCTCAACAAAAACATTACCATTTCTAAGGGCCCGTTGGAGCGTGAACCTTCAAAAACAAATTGTAATTAGGAGTAATCTGGTGACGTAGGACAATTCCATTTAGAAAGTTAACAAGAAAAAGCAGTTTGGATATAATTAATCTTATTTAGATGAGCAAAAATTATCAAAACTGAACTAAAGCCGATAAAAAATATATTCTAGTTTATCACAAAACTAGTTTTTGCCCACGACTCCGTCGGAAACAACGAAAATTAGTAATCTATGTGTTTTGGCAGACTATGTCCAACATTTATGCCAAATTTCACCGATATCAGTTTGGCCGTTATGGAGATATTTTCTAACAAATATCTATATATTCATGTAACCTTTCGCATTTGTATTATTAATAAGTTTGGTAAATTATTAACATTAAAATGATATAGCACTAACTGCACAATAGTCTTCAACCTTCAGAGGGATAGTCGCCAAGATCCGACTAAGCAATTTAAATCTTCGTTCATTGTACATGAAGCATACGATTTGAACCAATTGTTGGGATGTTGGCTTTGCTAATAAAATTCCAAAGCGATACTAAACATAAGATGTTGTTGAGAACACAACGATATTTCATTCATTATAAAAAATCAAAGATTAAAAAGCTTACTTCTCTTGTTTCTATCTATTGGAAGACTAGATCTCGACAAAGCTGACCCACTTATGCATTGTTCTATATCTATGGAAAGTCGGCTCGCATTTTTGTGTAACACTTATGCAAAAACCCGCTCCAGTTGCGTTGGCACAGTTGTCTGTGGTCAGATGTTTACACTTTAAAAAGAATTTCTATTGTAAGATTTTCAACGATGAATAAACGTTGCTTTTTTCTAGATATTAAAAAGTAAGTTTCATTTAATACAAAACGTATAAGAGATAAAAATATGTAAACGGAAAATAGCTCTAATTAAAAAAGTAGAATAAAAACATTTCAGATGATCAGATGTTTTTTAAACTTAATAACCATGGGTTTCTGAGACCAAAATATCCGTTTAAAAAATATAGTTTTCTTTGTTTTGCCAAAAATGAAAGAAAGGAATGATAAGGAATATGTTTAATAAAATTGTGGTGAAACCAAAGGTTAAGTCTTTCAAAAATCTAAAGCTAAATGTATCTATTTCGTAGGTATTAAAATCCAGTTAGATTCCGGTTAGTCACAGCTGGTTAGGGGTCAAGCAGGTGGTCATTTTATTATCAAACATAATAAATTTATAGCTTATTCCACATTAGATCGTTACGAAACTTTCCCACTTAGAAGTATTCACAAAAAGATTGTTTAAATACCGTGACGAATATCATCACTTAATAAAGCGATGAATCGCTGAGGTCCAAATTTATATTCTTTACATCGTAATTTATTGATCAATATTGTACAGTTTTATTGTTTGAAAACATTTGTTGCGTTCTCGCGTATCCCGGCAGGGGGCACTGCCGTATCTTAAAATTAATATTCTGTCAACGAAAACGAATTTCGGTTGCGAACATTGTGATATCAAAGCGATTCGATCAGTAACCTTCGATATATGATATGGATTTTTCAGTTCAATTCGTGGATTGCACAGGTTACATATATGTTTTTGTATTTATTAAAATTAAAAAAAAAACTCAATTCAAAATTTAGCCGTGACACAGCAAACAAAAGCCAACGCCAGTTGGAGAATGAGTTAATTTCTAAATTATACGTGAACATTTGTAATTAAACTGATGAGTGAAGTATCACTTTCCGTACGATTCATTCTGTTCTACTCAATCTTATAATTTAACTATTGAAGAACTTTTGGTTTTTAATTAAGAAGTTGCACATCTTGCAAATGTTCTTGAGACTTATGTGTAACCATCGACAAGCAAGAAGGTAATATCTGAACGTTGCCAGAAACGTCGTGGAGAGTGAACAGAACTATTAACACATCTAGTGAGATGGTCACCGGATGAGAGGATGCATGGAAAGGGAAAATATTTTCTTTCTGTGCATCCTCTCCTCCGTCGATCTAAGGTAGGCAACGCTGATGTCCATGGGCGTCGTTGAACACCTCGGTGTTCCCGCTGCTCGTTTGCCCCCTTCTGTTAAAAAAAAACGCATATGCAATTGCGTATGTCTATGGGCAACGGTCACTTCGCTATTTCAGCGATTTCAGGTAGCCGCTCGCTCGTTTGCCACCTTATGATATGAAAAAAAAATTAGTAAAATATCTCGTAGATAGTAGAGCCGTCTGTGTTTACCTCCCTAGTGTTAAATTAGTAGTTATTTTATTTACTTTAAAACATATCTTTATTACTAGACGTACTGACAAAATTGCAAAAAGGTATGGAAAAATCGAACATTTTACCTATTTACTTTTTTCCAAAGGGATACTAGCTGTCGGTTATAAAAGTCTTTCAAAATGGAACAAAGAGAGATTGAGGGTTATTCGCAGCTCTTTCATTGAAATCCGGTAACAGACAGCAACTTTGTCCGCATTTTAAGCGGGAATCGTAGTTATAGTTTGCCTGTTTTGTTATTTGTTTTACATGATTATATCAACTTTATTTTATTGTATTTTGAGTGACATTATTATGTTTTTAAAGAATATTATAAATTCGATGTAAATTCAATAAGAGATATTGGATTAAGGCAAATAAAAATTCGGTGGCTAAGTGGTCAAGCACTTGACTTGCAATCTGCAGGTCCTGGGTTCGAATCCCGCCATGTACCAATGTGTTTTTCGATTTCCGATTTTACATATGTACATTT